GGAGGCATGTCTAAGCCCAGCTCTATGAGAGGCATGATCCTTCAGGCTGAGAGAGATACAAGGGTTATTCAGAATACTGCCTTCAAGGAGCTTTTTCTCTTCATCAGAGAACTTAGATATGCGGGAACATGACACCCATCCATTCATCCATCCACCCTTCCGTTCAATAAACACTTATTGAGTGTTGGCCAAGTTCCAGACAGTACGTTGGAAAGAGGGGTATATGACACTGAGCCATGCAAAGTCCATATCCTCAATTCAATGTTTAAAATCCAGTAGGGGAGACAGATGGTTACAATGCAGCACCTCGGGTATTGCTCATATGGGATGCAATAGGAACACTGGGAAAGGCACATAATCGAGGCTTCAGTTAAATGAGGAAATGGACATTCCAGACTGATGGAGCATCCCTAGGCCAGAAGAAACACAGGTTCCGGCAACAACAAATTGCTGTGAAAGGCTAGAGTCCCTGGGCGCGTGAGAAGTGAGACTAATAATTTAGGCCCAGGGACAGATCGGGAAGGACTGTGTGTTCCGACCGGGAATTTTCCATTGTATCCTAGAGGCCAGTTTGATCTCCCCTCTTTATCCAAAATAATTATAACAATTATTATTATTATGTATAAACTGTACTTATTATCTATTCTATTATATTCATGCATACTATAAAACATACATGTTTTAAAGGATAATGATGAAATAAATAATAATTTTAAATATCTTAATTCAATTGCTGTACTAAAATCTTTCTGTTCTCTTGTTTAGTGAGAGCAATGGGTTTGCACATAATTTATTCTATTTAAAGAATCTTAATAGTTTGTGAGACATTAATATAAAGGTCAGGTTCCAAATTCAGTTTATTTCTATACCTGTCTCTATTGACTATCAGATTTAAATATGTATTTCATAAAGACAGGGAGATCTAGGGGGCGCCCTTGGACCACTGACTGTGCTTTTAAGTCAGTTATGCCCAAGTTCCATTTAAGGCTTGTCATAAATTTGCTTCTCTGGTAGCTCTGAGTTTTTCTTGCAAACTCATTAGAAGGCAATAGCTTTTTTATATTTTTAACAAATGGGTACAACCCCCACCAACACATTTCATTTGGAAGATCTGAAAACATATTAGTGAATGTGCAGCTCTGAGTATTTTGATAGATGACATAACTCATGTTTGACAGCCTAGTTCCCGCGGAGATGGCAACATTTCCAAACTTCCTTTTTCAAAAGCCTCTCTTCTGAGCACAGATTTCTTGTGAAAAGCAATTATTTTCACCTTCTAAAACTGCCATCTTGAAACAAAATAAGCAAGTTGGGTTTTTCCCCAAATGTTTGCTAGAGAGAATATTAATAGCAACCTATTATCACAGCAAAGCAACAAATATGGGACACTTGTGGTTTTTCTTTTTCAGTGAAAAAATGGATAAATCATCTTTAATTTTAACAACTCTGTTAAGCATTTTGAAGTAAAATAACAATTGAATTTCTATGTGGTGCTGAAGATTTTTCTAGTTATTATATTTCAAAGTATTGTGTCCTGGCAGTTGAATTTTTCCTACGTGAATGGTGTTATTTAACTCATAAACTGAAATGGTTTGAAACACTCTGAAAGTGAAGAAGGAATGTGCGTGCAGAAATCTTTCTCTTCTCTCAAGAGGCCTCCTCCATGCTCAGGGTCAGAAAATAGGCCAGTCTGGGCCCTGTAGGGTTGCTAAGGTCAACCCACATATCAAACTTCAGTGAAGCTTTTCCAAGATAAAAACAAAAGCTCGCATGAAGTGGTGACACTGTCTTCCTGCATCCGAGCAGATGACCCAGCTCAGCCCAGGAACGTGAGTGCTCTGCTCTGGCGACCACTGCTCTGAGGAGGAGGCCAGGAAAGAGTTTTTAACAAGGGAGGGATGGTGTGAAAAGTCCCACTGTGTTTGGGATAACCGTGTAGAACGTGGGCCCACTCTGGCCTTACATGGGGTTCTCTCCATTCACCTATGTCAACAGGTATGTGCGGTCACGGACGAAGCATGACGTCGACATGCGAATCGGAATCCACTCGGGCTCAGTGCTGTGTGGTGTGTTGGGCCTGCGGAAGTGGCAGTTTGACGTCTGGTCTTGGGACGTGGATATTGCAAACAAACTTGAATCTGGAGGGATCCCTGGGTAAGCCAGAGCAAAGCCCTCGTCCTCCTAACCCTAGTCATTTGCCACTTTGTGGGAGCGGGTTTCCCCTGTGCAGAATTCAGGGGTATAGACCTAAAAGCAATTATTTGGAAGAAGATAGAACCCTTCATGGTCTGAGATTTTGGGGTTTATATTTTTCTTTTAAGCCCAAATGGCTTTTTAAATGTCTGGTTATTTCCCATCCCTATCAATCCATATATATAGGAATAAACTAAGCTTACTTTTCCTTTCAGTAAGAGAGTTTGCCCCCGATTCTGAACATGTATTAAGTACCTACTATGAACTAGCCAGTCTGCTAAATGTCATTACTACATCACATCATTTGATTTTTCAACACCCCACACAGTAAATGTTATGAAGGCCTCACCAACTTTACTGCCTCCCCTTGTTAATTCATCAGTCCAGTCTGCTCAGGACTGGCCTTTCATTATTAATCTCCAGGCCTTCAACGTGTCCCCAAGAGCCTGACATGATGCTTGGCACATAGGAGGGAAAGAAAGGAAGGAAGGGAGGCACACAACTCCACTGTGTAATGGACCCTGGAGTCGTGCAGAATTGAATTAAAATCCTTTCCCTGCCACAGACACCAGCCATGTAGCTCCACACAAATTCTTCAGTCTCTCTGAGCCGTGGGTTCCCAGACTAGCGATTCTCAGCTTGTGCTGGAATCTGAATCACCTGGAGGGTGTGGTAAACCTTGGGCGGCTGGGCCCCACCCTCAGACTTTCTGATCAATGTGTCTGGGGCGGGACAAAGACTATGTCTTCCCAACAAGTGCCCAAGTGACGCTGACGCTGCTGGCATTGGTACCACACTTTGAGGACCACTGTTCTCGAGCTTTAGTTAAATGAGAAAATGCATATCAAGTCCTTGGTCCTGTGCCCAGTAAACATTCACTGTGGTTTGTGTGTAGCAGTTACCAGGTGACACACATGTAGGGTCTTACAAGGACCTTGAAGTCCTTGTCTCCCTCCAGCACTGCTTGTGACCTCCCAGTGATGTGACTCTGGGCCAGGTACTTACTCCTGGTCTTGGGGCCAGTTTTATCATCAGCAAAATGGGGGTGGGGGGTGCCTATCAGAAAGAGGGAAATTCTATGAGATGATCCATGGAGCTAGTCATGTCATAACAGCTTTGATTACAGACATCACTTATGCAAAATAAAGTGTTACCAAATGGTTAGATCATATTTACTGTCATGACTATCATTATTATATCCTGGCATTTAAAATTATCAGAAAATGTCAGGTTTACCTGACAGTCAATATATGGGAATATTGCCTGACTCATTTCCGTAGATAAACGTAATCACCAGAATCTCGTCCGCACAGTCTTTACTCCAAAACCCCAGCTAGCAGCCATGATCCAAGGAATCTCTAAAGCCCAGTTTCTATCAAAACGTGTAAATGTAAATTGATTAGAACTTGAGCAGAAGACTCAGTAATGAATGAAGGTGAGGATGTCTGTCCCTACGGGAAATATAATATTGATTCAGTATGTGCAAATATTATTCCCCCTGCACACTGATGCAGGGTAATAAAACGCAGAATCCAGAGAAAATACCAAATAGGGGATGGCATTTAACTTAATTATTTTAAGAGAAGATCAGCCATCAGACTTTATAAAGATGATGCATGGAGCCAGTCATAACATAGCTTTGACTACCCTAGTGGGGTTTCATTGTGCCTGAGAGAAAAAGACGGCCTTCTAGCCCTAGCTCTGAGGTTGACCAGAGAGACAGGTCTGGGACAACCATTTCATAGGAGGACAAATGACCCTTCTGTTCCTCGAGGTCAACATTACTGAGTACGTACTGACAAAACCCACCACGGGGACATTCCGTGCTTATTCAGCGTGTTTCTGAAGAGAGCTCAAATATCTGTACATGTTTCAGGTTTTGTGTTCTGACCTTAGAAGTCAGTGACTGGATGCAAGGCTGCCACTTTGGAAAAGGTGGAGAATGTGCCTGCAGGATCAGAAATGCATCCTTGGTAGTTTCTGGGTGTTTTACGTGTCCTCTGCAGTGTTTTATTCTATGAGCAGGAATTGAGCAGAATGGGTAAGAAGGAAGTAGAAATAGCACTAAAAGTACAATGTGCCTGGCCGGTATGGCTCAGTGGTTGACTATGGACTCATTCACTGAGTGGGTACTATTGTTTTTCCCATTTTCATGGATGAGAAAATAGACTCATAGAAAGATTAAGTAACTTGCCCAAGATCTATCAGCTAGCAAGTAAGTGGTAGAGCCAGGGTTTTGATCCCACAATCCGGCCAAAGAGTTCATGTCCGTAACCACCGTGCTAGGCTACCCACGGCACACTATGGCACTGTAAGGCATCTGGGTGAGTTAGACAGAAGCACACAGAAAAACCCTCCCAGAATGATTCACCATGTGAAATTTCCACGATTCCAGTGTGAGCCTTAAGGCCCTTGATGTCATCTGTTCTTTTGCTAAAAAAGAAACTTGAATCATGAGCTGCAGTGGCTGATGACTGTGCAGGAGTGAGTCACTCACCTTGTGAGTGAGCCCGGCCAGTGGCCAGCCGGCACATGGCCACAGCTCTGTTCTCCACTCCTTGCCGTGCACAAAGGTCAGGGAAGGCTTCTCTGTGGTCTTGTGAGGCCTGCCTTTTTCTTATGATTTTAGACGAGTTGAAGAAACGAGGCAAGACGACAAGAGAACTGTCACTGTTGCTTAGTGATTTTGGACAAAAATTGCCATTGGGTTCAGAAACATTTATGGAACTTGTTTTCCCAATGTAATCAACAGCACTGAAAAACAGAAATCACTGACTGTTGCTTTTTTCTGTGTCCATGAATTTTTTGTTTTATTTTTTTTTTTTTTTGCTCAATCCCTTTACCCAGCACCTACCCACCCCCCACAGCTGTCAGCCTGCTCTATATCTATGAGTCTGTCTCTATTTTGCTTGTTAGTTCATTTTGTTCATTAGATTCCACATATGAGTGAAATCATATGGTACTTGTCTTTCTCTGCCTGGCTTATTTCACTTAGCGTGATACTCTCCAGGCCCATCCACGCTGTCACAAAGGGCAAGATTTCCTTCTTTTCTATGGCCCAGTAGTATTCCACGGTGTAAATGTACCACAGCTTTTTTATCTACTCATCTACTGATGGGCACTTGAGTTTCCAAATCTTGATTATTGTAAATAAACCTGCATCTATTCTTTCGAATCAGTGTTTCGGGTTTCTTTGGATAAATTCCCAGAAGTGGAACCGCTGGGTCATAAGGCAGTTCCATTTTTAATTTTTTAAGTAACTCCATGTTGCTTTCCACAGTGGCTGCACTAGTCTGCATTCCCAGCAACAGTGCACGAGGGTTCCCTTTCTCCACATCCTCACCAACACCTGTTATTTGTTCATCTATTGATGGTAGCCATTCTGACAGGTGTGAAATGATACCTCACTGTGGTTTTAGTTTGCAATTCTCCGATGATTATTGACATTGAGCATCTTTTCATTATGTTATTGGCCATCCGTATGTCCATTTAGGCAAAGTGTCTATTCAGGTCCTCTGCCTGTTTTTTAAATGGATTGTTTGGGTTTTTTTGGTAAAAATCACTGATTCTTAAGGGTTGCCAATACCAGGCTGACAGTCACAAGAAAAGCTGAAATAAGTGCTTATGTGAGGCGGCTCTGCAGGGCTGTGTTCATCAGAGGCTGCAGTGTCCCTTGGGGTGGAGTCAGCGATGCCCTGCTCATTGATTTTTGCTTGGAGTTCTGTTTTCTTTTATTCTTTCTGATTTTTTCAGGGGCCCACATATTGTCCCCGAGGACATGACCTCACAGTGCCCTGATGCTGGCTTTGCCCAGGCCACGTCAGGGGTGGATAATGACCTACGCTTTGTGTCCCCAGGAGGATTCACATTTCCAAAGCCACCCTCGACTGCCTCAACGGTGACTATGATGTGGAAGAGGGCCACGGGAAAGAGAGGAATGAGTTCTTGCGGAAGCATAACATAGAGACCTATTTAATTCAGCAGCCGGAGGACAGTCTGCTGTCGCTGCCCGAAGACATTGTCAAGGAGGCAGTGAGCCCCTCAGACCGGAGGAACAGCGGGGCGACGTTCACCGAGGGGTCCTGGAGCCCTGAGCTGCCCTTTGACAACATCGTGGGTAAACAGAACGTAAGTCCTGGCTTCCTTTTTCTGGTCAGCCAAAGGCATGCGCAGTGCCTCTGCACCAGAGAGGCCCCAGAGATAACCCATTCATCTTTAACCTTTTCTCTGCTGAGCAACAGCATTGCAAATCATCAAACCCTATCTCCTCCGGACAGAAATAACTTTTGTGTGCAATGTCAGGAAATGCATGAAATACCAGAGTGTACTCAACACCCTCTCCTTTTATTTTTTATTTTTTTACCTCACTCAAAATAAATGTCATGTGAAGCTGAATTGTAATTATAAAAAAAAAAAGACCCACATTGCAAAAGAGAAACCTGATATTATTATACTAGCAATAGGAGTAGATGATCAGGTCCAGGGGAATGCCATTCCTTAGACGGCTGGCAGGCTAGGAGTTCTGAACTGCCCTCTGGATTTAAAGTCAGGGGGTTGCCATTTATTTGGGACAGGCAGCACCAGGTGATGCCCAAGGGGAGGGTGAGAGCGTTCAGGAGTAGCATGAAATTGCAAAGCCGCCCTCGTAATTCTATTCCTATTTAGTGTGAATTTGCTTCTTATCTGAGGGATGGAGCCAACAGTCAGTCCATGAGGAGTAAATCACCACTCACCAAATTATTTCTTAAATCATTTCTTCAACTACCAGGACTCCACTAACCCGAATGAGATGCTCAGGCTCCTAGAGGTGCTAGAGGACTGAGGCTGGTCAAGTCAGAGAACCTGAGAAGTCTGCGATGCCCCGTCCCCAGAATGCTTGCTCAGGACCTGGGCTCTGATACAGGTTTCCCCTTTCATTGCCCAGGTCCACCACCTCCAGTTTAATGCATGTGAGTTAAAGAGTAGAACCCCACCATCCTTTTCTAAAGAAACACACAAAAAAAGCCAATATGTATGAGACTGGGAAACGGTTTCTGACATGCCCCTGTGCCCAGCAAAAGCTGAGCGCTGAAAACAAACTCAACCCAACCCAGAGTGTCAGGAGCTCTCTGAGGACCTGACGGGGTTCACTGTTTCAATCCATGGACCTGGACTTTTCTCCTTAGCTGATAGATAAGAAAAGTCTGTCTGCTTAAAGCCATTTAAAAAGGAAAAGGTTAAAGTGCTGGAAGTCTTCTGCATCGGACAGGTGGGTGGGGCACTCTGAGGCCAGGTTAACCTCTGTCTCAGTCAGTTCTGTGTGACGGGGCAAAGGAGTAACTCATGGGCCAGATTCCACCGGAAGACCCAGGTCAAACCCAGTCCGCATGCCTTGGGAAGGTCAACCCTTAGGTCCTTACTCTCCTTCTGTGTTTCATTTTTCCCCAGAATTATTATGCCCAACCGAGTCACCACTGATTTCAGTGCCCACTTCCTCCCATCCCTGAACTGGTGTGCATGGTGCAGTTTGCTATTACATAAAACAATGGACTTATATGTCCTTCCTGGAGTGGGTGCATGGCCAGCTGACAGCACCCTCTGCTTCCTCTGCCTATTGTTAGCTTGAGCCTGGAAGCTGGTTATTTAGAGAGGAATGCATGCTTCACCGTAAATACCTCAGTAACTCTGCATCACATTCTCTAGATGTTTTTTTTTTTTGTTTGTGTGGGGGTTTTTTTGGTCTTGCCATTTGAAAAACTTTTTCTATTTAAGCTGATTGTGGAACCAGGGATAATTCCTAATTGTTCTAATCTTAGTTGTTCCTAACCTAGCTGCTAATCATTGAGAACCAAGAGAGAAAGGTGGAGATACTTGGTCTTATTCTGCGATTGATGGATCTGGTAAAATTGTCCAGGAATATCTGAAATATTTCTTTGCTAATTTCCTAAAAAAAAAAATACACGCTGATATCATCAAGTCATTATTATAAGATATCTCATTGTTAGTCAATAATCACACTGTATATTTCATATGCTGCCTGAGTTTTGCCTGGATGCACTCCACCTGTGCCATCTTCAGCGTGAATCATCTCAGTTCATGTTGATGTCTTGGGAATTCAGAGGCAGGGGATGTGTACTGATATTCACAAATAACTAAATGGCACTAATAAGACTGAGAAAATGAGTCAATTAAAATGGTCACAAGCCCTCAAAGTTTACACTTACACTTAACTCTAAAAATCGAGGGCCATCTGTGCCACTCAGAGACATGTGTGTGCCTGGCAGAGACAGAGACTGGTCTGGCTGGGCCTGTCTGCCAAAACACCCCGTCAGCTCCACGGAAAGCCCAGACCATCTGAGTGTTTGCACATCACACGGAAAACAGACTAATTCTCCACTGGGGCTTTGCCAGCTGAATTGGGCAAATGTTTTGGCTTCTATTGATTCATGTGAGCTTCGAAATATTTTTAATGACATCAGAATGCTGTGGCATAATCTGTGCGCTATACATAGCAGATGTTCAGATAGTTTCCTTCTCATTTATTCATTCATCCAATAAGGATTAATTGAGCATCCTTTACATGCCAACTGCTAGTAGCAGTAGCAGGAAGGACAGAGAGAAGAAACACTGCAGAGATCAAGTCAGCCAGTTGTTTATATGTTTCATGAAGAGAGAAATTATGTTTCACTTACCACTGTTTAGCCCAACATCTGGCAGGTAATGGGACTTGATGATAGTTTGTTGAATGAATGAATGAAATGACAGATGTGGGTGGTAACAGAGAGGAACCAGTTAAGTTCAACTTCTAGGTATTTTGCTTAGGTGTCGGGGTGGACGGTGGAAATGCCCACTGAAATAAGCACTATTGGGATGGAAGGAGATTGGATGGGAAACCCTAGGCGTTCCGTTTGGGGCATGGTGAGCTTGAGATGTCTGGAGAGGGCTCCGTGGAGGTATATCCAGGGACTACTGAACACTCACTCTGGAGCTCAAGCATAAAGGAACTGTGCAAGGGATGTGAACATGGCAGTCATCAGAACCTGAGGGCTAGTCGAAGCCATGGAGTGAAGGGGATCACAGTAGGGAATATGTGAAATAGAACCATAGGGAGGCACAGGATAGACCTCAAGGGGCACCAGGTGGGAGGTAACAGAGAGCAGTGACCCCACAACAGAAACAAATAGGAAGGAAAGTGATGAGAAGAGAATTAGGGGATGTGGTGTCCTGGAAGCCCAGAGAGCAGAGAGCGCGTTTTGAGATGGAGGGAACAATCAACAATGGCCAGTGGAGCCAAGAGGCTAAGATGGAACACTGCCCATTGGAGTTGGATGGAAGAACATCATTGGCAAGAGGCAGATTTGATGAGGTGGTGAAGTCAGATTGTCAGGGGTGATAGATAAGGGAGGGCTCTGCATCTCACAGTAGAACCCCAACTCCACCCCTGTCTCCTCCCCACCTGCCTCTAAGGAGTCTGTCAATGGTTTGGAGCAGCAGCTACTGCACTAAGAATTGTTTTTGGTCCCTGAGGTGAGTCTTCCAGTCCTGCTCTATGCTTGAAGAGCCTTCCTTGGTTTTGATGTCATGCATCTTCCCTGACCCTTATCTGTGTCCATTTGGGTTAAATTGCTGGTTCAACACCGCCTGAGGTCTGGTGTCCAGGTTGCTCTTGGAAGCCTGCAGCACTCGTGGTTTGCATCCCCGAATCCTGGTGTGGCAGGTGTTTGCCCACTGATTTGGCATCTTGGCTCGCTGAACCCTGGCTCAGTTACCAGTGGGGCTGCCTATGCTCGGAGCCTCAGAATGGAATGAAAGTAAGGAAACCAGAAGTCAAGATCACAGGTGTATGATCACAGGTGGACTATTGACGTTCAAGGTATGAATGCAGAAGTGGGTGGTTGAATAAATGGAAAGTGGACAATTGGACGTGTTGGGGAGGGTGTCCAGAAATTTCCAGGCTAGAGTGTTGGATGAGTCATCAACATGGTCATTGAGTCTCTCAGAATAAAGGTAAATTTGGGGATGAAAACAAAGACTTAAGAAATGGGTCCTTGTAATAAAGATCATGCTTCCCTCTGACTGCCCGCTGTGACTAAAATCCATTGTGGGCTTGAGCTCTTCATTCGATGACTTAACAGGAACCCAGAAGTCTAACTGCTGGGGATTAGTACTGAGAAGACAGACCTGGTCCCTGTCCTCTAGGAGCTAACACTTTAAGGGAGTGGGGAATGTACACAGCTAACCAAAACATGGAAGTGCTTTGAAGGAAGTAGATATAGGAATGGGGGGGGGCATGATCAAATTATCACTGATAGGATCATTGCAAGTTTCTGAAGATTTGATTGGAGCGCTGAAAGGAAACCAGGAGAAGGACATCTAGAGAAAACAGCTAGTGCAAAGGCCCTGCAATGGAAAAAAAGTTTCATATGTTAGAAGAGCAAAATGGCCCAAGGGGCTAGGGCAGCAACTTTCAACCTGTGTGCTGCAACAATTCTTAAAACATGAAATACCTGACTATTTAGTCGGGGGCACTGGCCTCTTCTCCCTTAGATTATCAAATAAAAATAAAAAAATGACAGCCAACACAATAGCTGTCTTGTGTGAATGAATAAAAATTATACCTTTTTTTGTCAGATCAGCAAAAACTATATTTCTGGTGTGCCTTAGAATTTTAGTAATGAGTTTATGTGCCGTGAGATGAGAAAGGTTGAAAATCGCTGGGCTAGAGCATAGTGAGCAAGAAAGAAAGGGGTCAGAGGTGAAGTTAAAGCATGCGGAGCTTGCTCCTGCCAGCTCAACATGGGATTTCCTTAGAAGGGAAGTGATGGAAAGGCGTCCAGCAGGGCGCAGACATGACCTGATTTAGATTTTTTAAGGAATCGCTTTGGCTGTCTTGTGGAGAATGGACAAATGGCATCTTAGACTGATGACTCCCAAGAGGATACAAAGGGGAAAGCTTTTGCCACTATGAGCTGTATTGTGTGAGGATATTAATCCTCTATGACTTTTGTAACAAGTGATATGCCAAGAACATGGAGCCACCCTTTAAAAGTGAAGCCCCTATCAGAGCCTAGGGTCTGTCCCTCACATCCTATGAGGTCCCCACCATTGTCCCATCCATCCCTTGCACACTTATCACAATCAGACATTAG